ACAAAGAGGGGCTCCTGTATTTTTCTAGCTGTTAATTGAAATGCTTCGTGGGGGTCTCATTGATGTCTATCCGTTTTCAGAGAATTATGAAGTGAAATTCACGTTAAATTGGGGTTACCTAGACTAGTGTTTCATTATGGTTTGGAAGCCAATTTTTAAGAGATGGTTAAAAGGGAATACACGTGGAGGGATAAATCCTTCCTGGCGTCGCCGTAATCCTTTATCCCTTAATCTCTTTCTTTCCTTCGGGTGTTGGGATTTTTCTCTTTCAGCTCTAACTGCTGCCCTTTTCAGCCCTGACCTCCTTACCCTTTTAAGGTCAGGCCCCTTTCCTCATCACAGCTTTCACCCCTTTGTTTTTGAGTTTATCCCCTAACCCTTCTGGAGATAATCCCCTTTCCCCTCATAGCTCCCAGCACTCTCCCTCACAGTTCCATGCACTCTGACTCACAGCTCCCAGCACTCTCCCTCACAGTTCCGTGCACTCTCCCTCACAGTTCCCTGCACTCTCCCTCATAGTTCCCAGCACTCTCCCTCACAGTTCCATGCACTCTCCCTCATAGTTCCCAGCACTCTCCCTCATAGTTCCCAGCACTCTCCCTCACAGCTCTCAGCACTCTCCCTCACAGTTCCGTGCACTCTCCCTCATAGCTCCCAGCACTCTCCCTCACAGTTCTCAGCACTTTCCCTCACAGCTCCCTGCACTCTCCCTTACAGAGTTACACACACATACACACACACACACACACACACACACACACACACACACACACACACACACACACACACACACACACACACACACACACACACACACACACACACTTTGATTAATATGATCAGCCTGTCCTCATCACTGTCTTGAGCCCCTCCCTCCCTCCCCCACCCTCACCTCTCCTATTCCCCCCCCCCATCGTTAAGACTCTCCTCTCCTCCTCCTCCTCCTCCCAGCGAGACACATTGAATAATACATCTGCAACTTGAGCAAATGTTGAAAAAACCCTTACATAAAAATAGAAATAAATCAGCCTATAGAGAGTGCAATATAAAATATAGAGCAGTGCACAACACACTATCCTCGGGCACAGCCGGTGTTCCAATATCCTCCAAAAGACGAGAGGAAGTAATCGACAGAACTGAAATTCCATCGGCCGGTATTGTTGCTCATTTTCTTTCCTATTTTCCGGACCAATCACGTTCAGAGTTGGCAAGCCTGTGTGTGTGTGTGTGTCGGGGGGTACGCGACGGTAGTGGTACTCCTGGCTTGTTGGAAAGACTTTAAAGTAGTTGGTGGTGAGGTCTTCAAGCGGCACTAACTGACTAACTTCTAACTTGTTACTAACTTACAAGTTGCTCAGCCTGTCTTCATTATTCCCCCCCCCCCCCCCCCTCTCTCCTCTTCTACCGTCGCTCTGACAGTTAATTAATAATTTCTCTCTGTTGAGTTCCAGGATAGAGCAGGAGGACTCTTTGGAAAGTTTCGGCAGAGAGCTGTAAGTTTCTGAGGGATCTTTCCAGGATTGAGCAGCAGGTCTGTTTTGGAAATTTGCAAGATAGAGTCGGAGATGTCCCTTAAAATTGTAGAATAGAGTCGGAGATGTCCCTTAAAATTGCAGGATAGAGTCGGAGATGTCCCTTAAAATTACAGGATAGAGTCGGAGATGTCAATGGAAAATTGAAGAGCAGAGCCAGGGGGGCGGGGGTGATCCTGGGAAAGTTACAGAGCATGAAGGATGTGAAGGTGGGGCAGGGGAGGAAGGGGGTTATCTTGAGATGATTTCGAGGCTTAGCGTCCCCGCGGCCCGGTCCTCGACCAGGCCTCCTTTTTGTTACACACCCCAAGAAAGCAACCCGTAGCAGCCGTCTAACTCCCCGGTACCTATTTACTGCTAGGTAATAGGGGCATCAGGGTGAAAGAAACTCAACTCATTTTGTTTCCGCCTCCACCGGGGATCGAACCCGGAACCTCAGGACTACGAATCCGAAGCGCTGTCCACTCAGCCGTTAAGCCCCTGGGGGGAATCCCCGGCTCAGAGAGAAAAAGTAACCTTGCAACACATCAATATTTTTATCCTCGCTCCTACACACCCGTCAGCACACCTGTCAACACACCTGTCAAACGCGTGTTGAACACCAACACTACACTCCCCCACCAATAAATGTTTTACCATATGTAACCTCAGTCGTTGCCCTCTCCGGTCAATATGTACAAGAATGTACATGCCTACATATCGGCACTTTCAGACCTGTCTAATCATTTTAGGGGAGTGAGGCCGATAGCTCTTGATGTCCCGCCTGCTGGCATTCTTGTACCTGTTGAACAATTGAACCATTGAACACTTCTCACTTTAGAAATTCTGTGTCGAATCTGGCCTTAAATTCGTGGATGGAGGTGGCATCCACAACTTCTTCTTCCAGTGTCTTCAACTTGTTGAATACTTGTACAGGGTACAAGTATTTCCTTACATATATTTTCCCAGACTCATCTGCTTTTCCAGCTTCCACTTATGTCCTCTTGTCGTACTTCCCCTCACTTTAAAAAAGAATGTCCATATCCACCTTGTCTATTTCCCCTCAGTATTTTGTATGTTACGATCATGTCATCACACTCTCTTCTCTCCTTCAATGGTCATGAGGTCTATAATGACCTTTAACCTGTCCTCGTAGTATATGAGCATATATATGTGTACCCAAACATCAATGGCACACGAATTTGGTGATTATTAGGGGTATATGTTGACCGTCGTGATGGACATTGATGGCAGATATCTATTTATGTGGAGGGATATTACGTTCTTTCTTTCCTTCTTTCTTCTTTCTTTCGCCCTTCAGAGCATAGCATTTTTAACGTCATATGTGCTCGTTTTCTGTGTTTTTTTCCCCTTAGGGGGAGCTGTGATATTCAGCGCCTCTACGGTAATGTGCGAGAATAGTTCACGAGCAATACAACTCTTGGCTAATCCATCATTTGTGCAATAAACTGGGAAATGTGTTCTCTTAATGGGAGACATAAATATTACCGGAAATATATGTATATGTATATATTTTACCAACCGAATGAGATCAATCTTATCTGTTCTTTCCTCCCTTTCCTTATCTAGTTCCTTCACTTTCCGTTTCTTTGATCTTTGATGTCAAAGGATTTGGAAAGGATGGGGAAGGTAGAGGGATGGGGAGGTGAAATTCTGGAAGAGGATTTGGGTGTAGAGAGAGAGAGGAAGTTTGAAAGTTCGCTGGCCTGTCCACCATGAGGTTGGTATATGTGTGAGTCGTTTGTTTGGGTATGTGGTATGTTGGGTTGTCAGGTATGTTGGGTATGTTGGCTGGGTGGCTAGTGTTTGTGTCCTAGCTGGTGTCTAGAAGCCCTACAGCCGCTGCAGTTGGCTGTAGTTGGTTGCAGTTGGCTGTAGTTGGTTGCAGTTGGCTGTAGTTGGCTGTAGTTGGCTGTAGTTGGCTGTAGTTGGCTGTAGTTGGCTGTAGTTAGCTGTAGGAGATTAATCTTAGCAACATCAGAGCGGTTACTTTTCTAGTAGCACAAAAAGTTTTTTTGTTATTGGGTGTTTGTATTTTTATTTTATTTATTGAATTTTGTTTTCTTATTGGGATTTTTATTTTTATTAGGTATAATTTGGGTCCGGGATGGGCCACTTATCTTTGTCGTCTGGCAGACCACTTAATATTTGAGGTCTTGGGAAGGCCTAATCATGGATGATCTTTCCTTCCTCTATTTCTAACTCGTTCCCTCACCTGTCTTTCCTCCTTCTCGCTTTCCCTCCCTTCAGCAGGCCTTCCCTTCTTTCTACTTTCCTACCCTGACGACTTCATTCCTTTCCTCATTTCCTATGTGCTTAAATTCTTCTCTCTCTCTCAGTTTCTCTCTTCTAACTTGTCCTCTCTACTTCTCCTCCCTGTTCCACTTTTACTCCTCTTTACTTCTATTCCCTTCCCATTTTCCCCTCCTATATTAAATAACAGCATAATCTCAAGGGGGTAGGATCAACTAGGCCACAACATCACCTATGCAGGAGCAGTGAAAAAGGTATATGTCAGTTAGAGTCTCCTGTACAATTCGTATTCCATTATCATGCCTCTAATGACTAAGATGTTACTAGCTTAGAGTTAATTAATTTGCATTATAAAATAAAGTTACTGTTAATTAGTCTCCTGTATATTTTATATATATTCCCCTTAATTAATTCTGAGACATAGATCTTAAATGGATTTGGATGTTATTTGTGATCTTATGAGCATTTTTATGAGTAAATTATATTCCCCTTGTAACTCATGAAGGAATTCCATTCACTCAGTAAGTATTAAAAGATTAAATTCCCAAAGCACTCGGTATTAGTTGACTGGTCTCCTACCGAGTTAATTAGCCAAGTTATCAAAGTTCTAGGAGGAGTGGTGGCATTATTTTTTGTATGAGTTATCTTCCATCTGGTCTACACAAACTGTAAAGATATCTTTAACACCTTGGTCATTTCTCCCCTACCTCCACCTTGATAACTGTATGAGCATTTTCTGCGGCGAGGGCAGACTCTTCCAGATGTTGGGGGGTTATAACAGTGCAATTATTACAGCCAGTTATAACAACCATTACCAGTTATAACAACCATTACAGTGAGTGTTACCGTAGTTGTACAATAACATCAGTACTAGATTGTCATAAACGTTACAATGGTGGTAACAGGGTTTGAGGCGTTACAGTGGTGACCTTCCAGCATTGTTACAATGGTAACCTCACCAATTGTTACATATTTCCAGTAAAATATGCCCCTTATGTTTGCTCAAAATTTGATAAGAGTCACAAGTAAACTCAACAGTTTGACTTCAACGTACAGTAAATGATTCGCGGTAGATCAGGAAGACTATTCAAATAGCGGGTTTACAGAGTAGCCTGACTAGAGCTACTGTACCTTCACGACGCCGGCCAGTAATCTCAAGAATTCGTCTCGGTTCTCCAATCTTCCTTTTTTCAACGTCGTTGCTCCCTCTCGCAGGTACAGCGTGGACATTGTTGAGGACTCAGGTGCAAAAGGCGTTATCAGTACCGTTCGGGCGGAGCTCCGGATAACGAACGTGGCGCCCCAGGACTCCGCCGTCATCGCCTGCACCGCCACCAACACTTACGGAAGCCACACCCACCACATGGAACTCAAGGTTCAAGGTATGGCGCCGCTGAACGGCCCGATGAACTAAATTAGATAAGTTTACCCTTATGATCGTGTGTAAAAACAAAATATTTTTTACGTTTTCTTTGAATTCAACTTTAATTTACGATAAAATGTTTAATATCGCATTTGGTCTGTGTGTTGGTCACCTCTGAAGACACTGGAGCCAGCACTAAATTTTAACCTCTCACCCCACTACCCAGACGTGCCTGAGTCACCCCGTGACCTCCGGGTGACCCGAGAGGGCAGTAGGTCAGCCACGGTGACCTGGGCGGCCCCGCCCTCCCCCAACACGCCCATCACCCACTATATCCTCCACCTCAAGTCCCAGACAGGTCAGTAATATTAGTGTGTGTGTGTGTGTGTGTGTGTGTGTGTGTGTGTGTGTGTGTGTGTGTGTGTGTGTGTGTGTGTGTGTGTGTGTGTGCGTGTGTGTGTGTGTGTGTGTGTGTGTGTGTGTGTGTGTGTGTGTGTGTGTGTGTGTGTGTGTGTGAGTGGTTAGTGTGTGTGTGTGTGTGTGTGTGAGTGTGTGTGTGTGTGAGTGGTTAGTGTGTGTGTGTGTGTGTGTGTGTGTGTGTGTGTGTGTGTGTGTGTGTGTGTGTGTGTGTGTGTGTGTGTGTGTGTGTGTGTGTTGTGACGGAGTTCCCCCCCCTTATAATTCTCCCACGCCTGCAGTAAGAGTCATGTCTACTTTTCCCAAGCGTTCTCTACGTTGCAGGCTACAATTTGATATATGGGAGAGAGTGAAGGGTTCTCGGAGAGCCGAGAAATTTGTGAAATAGTAATATTTTGGCCTGTGGTTTAGGCCCTTTAGGGAGCCAAGATGGCGCTTACCTCTCTGATCTCCCGCCAAAACCGTGTGACGTCAGTGGCACCGGATTGGTCACCGACAGCAATGTGGCACCGGGAGCCAATGAAAACCTCCCGTAGCAAAAGTGACGTCACGAAGGAAGGGGGTCCGGCCAGCGCGCCGGGCTGGCGCCAGCAGTCAGATACGACACGTCATAGAGGTCGGACGTGTGACGGATGGTCTTGTCAGTAGGACAGTTGAACCTCGCTCCCGTGGATTTACGCGTCATCGGAAGTTCGCCAGTACTCTGAGAAGTCTTCCCTAGTTCATGTGTTGAACCAGAAGAGGGAATAGACGGTTATTTGAGCAACAAGTGCTCCAGTCAGGTACTGTGCCAGTAGCAGTGAAGCCGTGCAGTGACGTATGTTGACGTCTGTGGCAATTCACCAGTTCGTGACAGCGTAGTGGCTGACAGAGCCACTGGGTAGCTGAGGAAGAGAGGACTAATTGGGGAAACCGAACGACTGTAGCTGAGACGTAGGCGACAGCCGTTGCTGGGAGAAGACGACGGCCAGGAGACCGACTCCAACCTTCAAGAAGTCAAGAAGGAGGACGGACCTGCAGTGAGGAGGCACGGAGACGACGCGCTAAACGGTGGGACGACGAGAGGCTCTGGTAGGACACGACGACGTGTAGTGTGGGGGCGTTCCCGACACGAGGACCAGGAGCTACATCTCGACTCTCATCGGAGGATAGGGTGAAGTAGGTGGTTCTAGTTCCCTCCCCATTCCCCTATAGTTAGCTATATTAATTGGCTATATTATCTAGCCCGAAGATTTTATATGTCGTGAGCAAGTCTCACTTATGTCATGGTAAAGCACCAGGGTGCTAGACAGTACTATCAAGAGTACTTGTAATATTCATGTTGATTATTGGTGTGTACAGGCACCAGGAACCAGTGATAAATTTACTGTGTTGTGTATATCTTTCTATAGATTTTTGATATGAACATATAGTGGTAAATTATATATAATATTATGCCAGTATTTGGAGGTTAGACTATGTGCCCAGAAACTATTTATTTTCCATGTATTGATGATTGATTTATATACCATATATATGTCTATGTTCATTCAGTGAATAATCATTTGTGAGTACAGTGAATTATTGCGTTATCGCCAACGAGAGAAAGTACTGAAAACTCCCGTGTTAATATTTCATAATATATTGTTGGATAAATAACAGTGTAAGACCATTACAGTGAATCATTGTAGAATTGATTGTAGAAAAGACTGTTTGAGCCTGAGTACAGTGTAACTAAGTAATTCGGTTTATTTGTGCAAATATCGAGTGGGCGAGTTTCTAGTAATATTGGAGAATTTAAAGAAACAGCGCGCGTGAATCTAGAAAACAAGCAAATTTCGCGCGGAGAGACCATTGCGATCAGCTGTTCTTGACACTTGATGAGGAGGGGGAGAGTGTTGCCCTCTAGTGATCGCATAATATCCGTGGGAATTACCGGCCGAGTCAGGATCAGTTGATTTATGATTATTGTGTGGCCTTGTGACATCTTTCATACATTTTAAGTAAAATACTAAACTCTCTTTGTGTTTTTATCATTCCCTCCATTGATCTTGTGGCTATACTATACCTGTAAGCATAGAGTGATAACAATAAGTACCTGCCGGATTCCTGATCCTTGAGTGTGACCTTGCCAAGGCTACCACTGAATACACCAGTCCACTGAGGGTGTTACTGGCCACCTTAAACACCAGTTGGCGACCTTGTGTTTAACCGTAGAGCCCTATTGTTGGGGAGGGCACACGACAGTCGACGTGAACGAGTCGTGTTCTCACTCTTTCTTAATAAGAGGCCGTTAAGATTGACTGGGAGACTCTCCTGGCGTGCAGTGGCGCCGTGAGGATCGAGGGAAGACCCGCAGGGCTACGGTGAGTTACCTTGAGCATAACTATTGCTTACCCCAGAGTAAGGGTAGAGAATAATAGAGAGGTGAAACCCCCAACATTGGCGACCTCGCCAGGATATAGATCGGAGCAAAGGTTGCAGTGGTACTTGGCAGTGGTGTTAGAGATCAGGTGAAGGTTATCACTCGTAGCACAAGATGGAGGATGATAAAGTAGCGAGGTTTATTGACTCTAGAGACGAACAGGTGCTGGAAGAGTGCACCAAGGCACAGTTACAGGCTATAGCGGATCATTTTGGAATAAAGCTGAAATCTGCCCGAGTTGGTGAAAGAAGACTAGAGATAATGGCTCAGCTAAAGGCTCGAGACGAAGCTTTGGGGGAGGAACGGCCCCAAACACCTGCCAGTGAGGGTGAACACCTGAGTATTGGTGGAAGCAGCAGGGGATCCAGCGGGATCCAACCTTCAAGAAGTCAAGAAGGAGGACGGACCTGCAGTGAGGAGGCACGGAGACGACGCGCTAAACGGTGGGACGACGAGAGGCTCTGGTAGGACACGACGACGTGTAGTGTGGGGGCGTTCCCGACACGAGGACCAGGAGCTACATCTCGACTCTCATCGGAGGATAGGGTGAAGTAGGTGGTTCTAGTTCCCTCCCCATTCCCCTTTAGTTAGCTATATTAATTGGCTATATTATCTAGCCCGAAGATTTTATATGTCGTGAGCAAGTCTCACTTATGTCATGGTAAAGCACCAGGGTGCTAGACAGTACTATCAAGAGTACTTGTAATATTCATGTTGATTATTGGTGTGTACAGGCACCAGGAACCAGTGATAAATTTACTGTGTTGTGTATATCTTTCTATAGATTTTTGATATGAACATATAGTGGTAAATTATATATAATATTATGCCAGTATTTGGAGGTTAGACTATGTGCCCAGAAACTATTTATTTTCCATGTATTGATGATTGATTTATATACCATATATATGTCTATGTTCATTCAGTGAATAATCATTTGTGAGTACAGTGAATTATTGCGTTATCGCCAACGAGAGAAAGTACTGAAAACTCCCGTGTTAATATTTCATAATATATTGTTGGATAAATAACAGTGTAAGACCATTACAGTGAATCATTGTAGAATTGATTGTAGAAAAGACTGTTTGAGCCTGAGTAGTAATATTGGAGAATTTAAAGAAACAGCGCGCGTGAATCTAGAAAACAAGCAAATTTCGCGCGGAGAGACCATTGCGATCAGCTGTTCTTGACACTTGATGAGGAGGGGGAGAGTGTTGCCCTCTAGTGATCGCATAATATCCGTGGGAATTACCGGCCGAGTCAGGATCAGTTGATTTATGATTATTGTGTGGCCTTGTGACATCTTTCATACATTTTAAGTAAAATACAAAACTCTCTTTGTGTTTTTATCATTCCCTCCATTGATCTTGTGGCTATACTATACCTGTAAGCATAGAGTGATAACAATAAGTACCTGCCGGATTCCTGATCCTTGAGTGTGACCTTGCCAAGGCTACCACTGAATACACCAGTCCACTGAGGGTGTTACTGGCCACCTTAAACACCAGTTGGCGACCTTGTGTTTAACCGTAGAGCCCTATTGTTGGGGAGGGCACACGACAGTCGACGTGAACGAGTCGTGTTCTCACTCTTTCTTAATAAGAGGCCGTTAAGATTGACTGGGAGACTCTCCTGGCGTGCAGTGGCGCCGTGAGGATCGAGGGAAGACCCGCAGGGCTACGGTGAGTTACCTTGAGCATAACTATTGCTTACCCCAGAGTAAGGGTAGAGAATAATAGAGAGGTGAAACCCCCAACAGTGTGTGTGTGTGTGAGTGGTTAGTGTGTGTGTGTCTGTGTGTGTGTGTGTGTGTGTGTGTGCGTGTGTGTGTGTTATCCCTTCTGTTATTTCCGAGCGACATCCGGTCACCGGCATGTGAATGAGCTTTATACATTTCCGCCGGATGTGTTCCCGGTGAGAGCGCGTTCTAGATGGGAGAACTTTTTGCCCAGAATATATATAAGTTCGGACCTAGCCTTTGTTAGTGGAGTGTTTACCTGCGAAAGTATATGTTCTTCTGCGATACCAACT